AGTGAGGTCATATGATACATGTCTTTCTCTGATTGACTTATTTCACTCAGCATAACACCCTCCAGTTCCATCCACGTTGTTGCAAATGGCAAGATCTCATTCCCTTTGATGGCTGCATAATATTCCATTGTGCATATATACCACATCTTCTTTATCCATTCATCTGTCGATGGACATCTTGGCTCTTTCCGTGGTCAAACTTCATTTTTTAATCTCAAGGGTTGATTCACTTGATAGTAGCAATCAGCGCTCTCTTGGAGAAATGGAGAAAGAGCACAATGAGGCATTCACATTTTTCATTTTTTATTAAAAAGCTCTTACATCTGCACCCTCGTTTCTTTTCTTTGAGCCTGGCCTCCCTTTATAAGGCCCTAGGTTCATTAACCTATGCCGGATCACATGGCTGCTCCAGCAGACAGAACGCGATCGGGAGCAGAGGCTCAAGGTTGAGATGCAGGAGAGACTGACCTTTGCCAATTAGATTTATCCCTCTTGTACACACATCACAAATTCCCTTGTGTGCAGAATGAGGGCCAGTGTGTCTATCTGTCTATTTTCTTTGCAGTGATTTAGGTAGACTCCTGTACGTGTGTGTGTGTGTGCTCATTCAGAACTGCCTGGCCTATTTGAAAACTGTTGGATGCTTCACTTTTCTTCCTTTCTAGAACTCTTCCTCTCTTCCATCAGCTGCTCCACCAGAATCAGAAGAAGGAGTTAAGCTGAAATGGAAACCAGTGGAGGCCAGTCTGAGATACACGACTAGGTTATAAAACATGGTTCTTCAATATTAGTGGAAGTCAGAATCAGCTGGGCAGCTTGTTACCAATATAGATGCCCATGTCCTGCCCACAGTCTGATCCAGGGGGTCTGGGATGTGATTCAGGAATTTGCATTTTAATCAGCCCCCCAGGTGATTCTGATGCAGGTGGTCAGAGACGGGATGTTGAGAATCCCTGTTAGAGAATTGCTGGGCAGGGTCCTAGCACTGTCTTCACCTCACATCCTTGGTTTAAGGACAAGGTCAAGGACATCTAGGGATGTGAAGTGACTGGCCTAGGTTAGAGGGTTGGTGAGGGACCAGAACAACACGTCGGTTCTGGGCTTTTCCCCTTTGCACCATGCACAGGGGAGCAGACCAATAGGAAGTGAGTTTGCTTGGCCAGGGGAGGGGTTTAAATTAGGGACAAGGAAGAACTGTCTGGCAAAGAGGAGTACTGAGGAATTCAATAGCATCTCCTTCCCAGAAGGCTTTAATTCAGACTCTCATCAGATGTGGGCATCTGCGGTGTCATGAGGGGGCTGAAAACAGGGAAGGCAATGTCTTCAGAACAAATTCTGGTGACTTTTGCATGGAGGGCCAGAGACCCTTCTTTTACTTCTTTGGCATCTGAATTGTAACCTTGGCAGCAGCTTTAAGTGTCCCGGGGTCCAGGAGGCCCGAGGTCCAGTCCCAGCTCTGACGAGGACAAGCTCTGCACCGTGGGGCCACCTGCTCAGTTCCTTGGTGGTGTTAGCTTGTTTCTCACTTCTGTGGTGGCAACCATTTTCTCTTCCACTCTAACTCCCTGCCACCGAGGCTTCTCTTCCGCCTCGCACCTCCATCAAGTTCTGCAGACTGAGCAAATTAAGAAGTTGAATTTAAAAACTACTTACTGTTGAGAATCCAGCAGCCTGTGTGCCGGTTTTCCCTCCCCTCAGGCATTCTGAGACTGTCTCTGGACAGTCCTCTGCTGTTTATACTTACTGATGTATTTAGAGGCGTCTGGCTGCAAAAGCGCCTGAGTTCCAGCTTCAGCACCCATGTCCTTTTGTGAATGATTATTTGGGTCGGAGATGGATCGGGACTACCCAGAGTCACTCCCCACGCAGAGAAGCCGGACCAGAGTGACATCTTCCCAGTAGTGATGACCTCTGGCCACAAGTCCCTGTCCCTGCATCTCACCTGGCCACCCCACTGATGGGCTCTCTCTGTCCCTTCCAGAAAGCGGACCTGGCCGTGGCAGGCCTCACCATTACTGCGGAGCGGGAGAAGGTGATAGATTTCTCCAAGCCATTCATGACTCTGGGAATTAGCATTCTTTACCGAGTTCATATGGTAAGAGACTTATTTTATAAGCATTTATGTCATTAAAGCTATTTGCATGCAAACACTGAGTTATATGGTAATAATGAATGACTCACGGAAATATTTAGATTTCAAGACTTAAATGCAAATGAGCTGGGCTATTTTTTCCCCCATCAGCTGCGCGGACTTACAAACAGGAAGAATGGAAAAGTCACACTTGTGGGCTTTCCAGTAAAAATTGCTTCTGCCTCACTGACTAGGGATGGCCAAGAGTGATCTCTTCACCCTGGGTGCGTACGGTGTCAGGGAGTGGCCCTGTTGGTCACTCTCTTTCCTCCTAGGGACAGGGTCCCCAGTCCAGATGAGTCACCCCAACATTTTCAAGGGCTTTGCTGATTCCCAGGTGTACCTCTGTTCGCTCTGAGCATTGTGTCTGGTGAAGGAATGCAGAGTCCTTCCTCTCTGGGTTTGTCATACTGGTGAATAAATAATGTCACTTATATCTGGCCTGTCCCCTTTTCTGCATCCTTCAAAAAAAGAGAGAGAGAGAGAAAGACTTCTCTGGTTAGGTTGCCTAGAGTGAGTGTCTAAATGAGTTTGTGAAGGCACACCAATGGGCGTGAGGACGGGCCTGACAGGACACTGCCTGGTGGGGGATGCGGGGAGCATCAGGAGAGTAATGCTGGCTGAGCCTCATCCACAAAGAGGGTAATAGTTATGTTGTCAGCACATAGTTGACTGAACCAGAAGAACCTTCTTCTCATCCTTTTATCCAAACTGGCTCTAAGTGCACAGCTATTATATGGATTTCCCCAATACTCAAGTCATCCTCGGTGTCCAAGGTCATGCTAACATAGTAAATTCCAGGGTGTTACCTGGCACCATAAGGCTGCCCAACAGGGAAGGAAGCAAGCGCTCATCCCACGCGCCTGCTAAAGAAGTGACCCCTTCCCAGTCCCCAAATCCCAGCCCTAGGGAAAGGGGATTGTCTGTATTTGCTATCCCAGCCTTGGCTCACATAGCGGGAGCTGCTAGGGCATCAAGAACTGCAGCCCTTGGGCGCCTGGGTGGCTCAGTTGGTTAAGAACTGCAGCCCATTTCTGTAAGAGGGCAGGTCCCCTTGTCACAGAGCCCGTTCGAGCAGCTCAGAGGAGCGCTGTCCTGTGCTGGACCTCAGCATCCATCATGATCCCTGCCTGGCTTAGAAAAGGAGGCCATATCATCTAGAAGAAGAGACAACATTGAAATCCCAAGCCCCCCAGGCTAAAACAGAAAGCAATCTCATGACTTGGTCATTGTAGACGCTGTCATTGATGTGTCTCTCTTGTGAATTAAGGGCGATAGTCTTTTTCACGATGATGAAAGCTCCCATTCATTGAGCACTTCCTATGTGCCGGACACTCTTTCAGGCACCTGTGAGGATGCGGACTATTGTTATGGGTTGAATTGTGTCCCCTCAAAAGACGTGTTGAAGTCCCAAGCCCCAGGACCTGTGAATGTGACCTAATTTGGAAATAGGGTCTTTACAGGTATAATCAAGTTAAGATGAGGTCATACTGGATTCGGGCAGGTCCTAATCCAAGGAGGGGTGTCTTTATAAAAAGAGGGAAATGTGGACACATGGGAGAAGACCATGTGAATTTGGAGACAGAGTAGAATGATGTCTCTACAAGCCAAGAAACGCCAAGGATTGCCAGCAACCACCAGAAGCTAGACGCCAGAAATTACAAGGAGGGATCTTCCCCAAAGCCTTCAGGGGGAGCATGGCCCTGCTGATGCCTCAGTGTTGAACTCCTTGCTTCCAAACTGTGGGACAATACACTTCTGTTGTTTTAAGCCACCCAGTTAGTGGTACTTTGTTATAGCAGCCCCAGAACACCGGTACACTTTTGTTCTTCTAAGTAGGTGCAAGAGCAGAGTTCAAACCCAGGAATGCTGTGCCTCGAGCATGTGTTCTCTCTGGGACACCAGGCGCTCCCCCCCCCATTTGTGTGATCTTTGAGTAACTTGTCCTGGAAAGCGTTCTTGTGTACCTTTTCTCATCTGGTCCTTAGGACTGCTCTTTGAGAAGGGGGAAGGTATTAGAATTCCAACTTGACAGTAAGGAAACTAAAGTCACACTTGGAACTGACACAGGGCTGGGCCTGGAAGCCAGGTGTCCTAAGTCTCAGGAGAAGTGTTCTTGTCATTCCCTACACCTGTCCGTAGTCCCTAGGTGATTTTCCAGCTAGCACCGTGTGTTGAGCCCACCTCACCCCATTCCTGCAACTGAGCCTCGAGGCAGCATCCCAAAGAAGTGGGGACATAGGACCTTTCTCCAAACCATATTGCTGTGGCCAGGCTGTACGCCTTGATTTCTTGATTAATGCCAAGGATAATAGAGCCCGATGGACCATGAGGATCCATGTGGGTGAAGGCACCTGTTCCCTAGTGTTTCTCCTCAGTGCCCAGGAACATCCACCGCTAGACTACCCTCACCAATGGGGACGCCACTGTCCAGAATATCAACCCCAGCCAGAACCAAACTCCCATTCGCCAGTCCTCTGGACATCCTTAATTGGATTGTTGGCCACAGGTTACCTACCACCAAAAACCTATGACTGTATTAATTCTTGGGATGTGAAGTTTTATGTGTCAGCTTGCCTAAGCTATGGTGCCCAGAGGTTTGATCCATCACTAGCCTAGATATTCTATGAGAGTATTCTGTAGATGTGATTAACAGCTACGATCAGTTGACTTCAAATAAGTGAGGTTACTCTTGATAACGTTGGTGGGCCTCACCCAATCAGTTGAAGGCCTTAAGCGCAAAAACAGGTTTCCTGAAGCAGAAGGAATTCTGCCTCAAGACTATCACTTAGAAATCCTGCCCGAGTTTCCAGCAGGCTCTATAGATTTTGGCCTTAACTGCTCCCACAATGGTGTGAGCCAATTCCTTAAAGTAAATCTCTTTATATACACACACACATACACACACATATATGTCCTACTGGTTCTGTCTCTCAGGAGAACCCTAAGTGATACGGTTCCCCTTTCTGGTCAGGATTCCTCCCCTCTTCCAGCCTCCATACTGAGGCACTGGTATGCCACATGGCTGCTCAGATCTGATTTATAACAGGGGGCCAAGCTGAGTAAAAACTGAGTGCTGGCATGAACAGCTTACACTAAGCAAAACTCACAGTTTATGCATTTATGCAATAAATATTTATTGAGTGCATTCTGTGTGTGAGGCAGTGTGCTTAGAAAGTACCAAAAAGTCAGCTGGAGAGAACAATCCTGAATCAATGAAACTGGGGGAGACCTGGAGAGAACAGGTCTGAGGTGAACTTTGCTATATCTAAAACATCTGTGCCCTGACTTGGCAGAAACAGCTAATGCCACAGGAACAGCCCAGTGCAGTTCACCACGAAAGCCTCAATCTGAAATTACGTAGAGAAGTTCTCTCTCATATAGCAGTGTTACGTTAACAAGATTAAAGTTGACTACTGGCTGTTTATTATTTTGTGAATTTTTCTCAGCTTGATAGTGATTATTTTGTGAATTTCTCTCAAGTTGATAGTTTCTTAAGATGATTAATTTCATTTTATAATCTATAATGACCTAGAATTTCTATCTTAATTCTATATCTGACGTCACCTGAGTCGTGAGTGGTTATTACCAAAATGTGAGCATCTGGTGATGTAAAACCTGTGTGCAAAGGTTAAAATAACCCAAAGTATAAATGCCTCTTTCAAAAATATTGTGAAACCCTCTGAAGTAGAAGGGGTGGCAGGTATGTGTCTGAAGTCTAGAGACAATCAGAAATAATGTGTGGATTTCCAGCCGCCTAAGATTACCTAGGGTTAGTTTTTCATGACCGTGGGATCACCAAGAGTCGATGATGTGGTATTTTCCTCTTCTCACCGTTGGGGTATAATCTCTGTTTCTGCTCAGGCATCTCTAGGACCAAAATCAGAAGACTGTTTTGGTCTTTGGACCACCTACTCCTTGCCACTCAGAGGCTGGCTGAGAATTCTGACTTGTTACTATGGATCCCTCCCACTTTCTAGAACTCTCTCCATTCCTGGGGTCCAGGTCACTGTTCCTTCTTTGATGTTCCTCCTACCGCTCTGATGGTGGCCCCCCCCAGCATTTCGGTTGACCCCCCCCCGCCGCCTGCCCCATGAATGTCCCTGGTGCATTTCCCTTCTCTCTTGAACAGCTCTCTGCCTGGCTAATGTCACCCACTGCCACATCTGTAAATCCGACCTTGGCCGCTCCCCTGAATTCTAGAAGCGTATTTCTAACACATGACTAGACATCACTTGACCATCTCTCAGGCACCTCAACTACGGTCTCACAAACCATATTCGGTAGAATTCTTCCTCCTCTTCCCCTGCCCCATCTCACGTCATGACATCTCCACCCATTCCCCTGAGCTGCCCTTCACCTCTCTTACCCCACACATTCAGTCGGTCTGCTCACCTCCTAGATAGTTCTCAAGCACGCTCTCCACCCCCACTGAATCCACCTTGGTTCAGGCTCTCCTTATCTCTGACCTGAACTGCTGCCATTCTGGTGGCCTGTATCCTCCTCGAGGTCAGGGTGTTTCTCCTCCAGCACCGTATCCCCATCAGAGGGTCACAGTCATTGCCAGCATTCACTAAGAAGCAGTAGAAAGTTCTGGAGCCAGAGCGGCCATGTACTCACTGCATGTCCCTGTGTGTCAGTTTTCTCATCTGCGACAATGGGTTGTCATGCAGATTGAAAGAGGATGTGTAAGTACATAAGTAACGCATTACAACGAACGGTGCCTGACCTGTGCACAGTAAAGCGTTAGCTTTTATATTTCATAAATGTATGTGACTTGCTAAGAGTTAGTTTTTAGTTTACTGTTACTTTTTTTTTTTTTTTCAAATGAAATCATATCAGCCTCCTATGTAAGATCATTCACTGGCTGCCCATCACTTACAAGACCAAGTCCATCCTTCTGAGCATGGAGAATAAAGGCCATCTTTCCTGTTCCATTTGCAGCTTCTGCGACAGCCATCCTC